AATATGGAAATTAGGAAAACATGTCGAAAATGTCTGGAGGGTTAATGCATAAAGTGGTAGTAAAAAAATAATAAAAATTTGAAAACTGATATTGAGCGGAAAAAAACAGCTAGATTATACTGTCGCTTGCATACAATAATTGGGTACGGTGGTGGCGCTGTTTCATGCATGGTCGCAGCATAGGTCGAGATAATGCTTTTTATACTGTCAGTGATGCAGGTCGGGAGGTTTGGCATGTTAAAAGCGCAATAAAAATTTTGGGGCCATAATACAAATGTGCACATTAAAGATCCACAGACAGAAACTCTGTTTCATTTCGTTTAATATCACAATGATCAGATAAAATACGAATCAGAATGTCAGAGTAAATGCCCTTGAGGACCGATCTGGTGTGGATTAAGTGCCATTAATATACATGTATATCATTTATATATCACATTATTAATGTGTAACAGCATATAGGACATCATTTTATTCCTATGTTCGTTCCATGTTGGTAGGATATCGCTTACAATATCTCATGTAAGTCAATATTGACTGATCAGAGTATATACAATCTAATATTCTAACATATTTCTATAGAGCTATTGGATTTTCATAACCTTTTACAGTCTACCATTGATTTCACTATTCATTCAATACACTGATTTGTTAAAGTTTTTATAGTCGATACTCTTTTATTCTTTAATGGATTACAACGATTTCTGTGTATTAGATATTGGTCAAATTAAATCAACATAAAGTGATCGTAATAGATCGTTTTCTAAGCGATATGACAAAGTAAAATTTAAGTGACGTAATGTGTAATTTACAATTTGTACCTCCTGATATTGCAATCATCCACTAATTGCTAAGACGATACTTTTACTTCTGGATATCCTCATCAGAGTATATTCACATACCAACAAATATTTCTCATCGTCTTAGGAATCAGAACGTCACTAGAATTTAGAGATTAAAAGTAGTACACATGTACATCTGTTATTTTCATTAATCAACGTCGGATATGACTTGACAACAACCAGGGAAAAACCAGCTAATTTACACGACAGGCTAATTGAAAGACATATATCAAAATTTTGGTTTCGAGGTCTGAATAGTAATGCCCCGATGTTTCTTGGCTAAATGAAGATGAAAATGAGATAGAGTAGCCCTCAGAAAAGATATATAAGGGTATAAGATACTGCTGCAGGTTTGGGCGTTCATTTATTTTTAGGATTTTGAATAGTTCAGCATGAGAAAGGTTTTGTAGGAACTGGGGCCAGATAGTGATTGATCTACCTGATGTTTCAAACTATAAATTCTTATGTAGTATTTGATTGTAGTACCCAGTCAGAGCCGTTCATCCACTAAGTTATTTTTCTAGACTGGATACATGATACAAGTACAACTATCACAATTCAAATCAAATCACGGAACGAGTATGTTATTGTTTGATTTCTGGTTGAATTCCACCAGTCTACTTTTCAGATATTAACCACCTTGTTTGTTTATTTTATTCATTGATTAGTTATTGATTATAAACTTGAGATGTCTGAAGTTTGGACTAGATGATTAAATTGACTTCGCCTCCATCGCTGAAGTATCTCATATTTTGTATTTCATCTTGATTGCATATGACAGAATAGTTCAGCATTACATAAGCTGAACACTAGATTCTTCTTTTGTCGAAAAATAAACTTAAATTTGTAGCTTTACTTTTCAACTCCTAAATGGGCTAACGAGTCAATGAGGGGGCCTAGTGCCAAGACAAACCTCCCTTCCCCGAAATCTAATCCAATAGTCGGGACACCAAGTCGGGACACATTAAGTCTTCACCAAGGCATTAGAGTAAATGTGCAGCTCTAATCTACAGAATTATAGCATCATCTTAATTGGATTATTTGCTACTCATTTTCGATGGGATGAATCTTTGATTTTCCTATTTCTCAGTTTATTAAAATAAGAAAGCGAGGCATTGTCGATGCTTTTCCATTGTCCTACTCATATTCGGTACAAAACTTAATTAATGTACTGAGCTGAATATATCTGGCTTCAGCTCAGTCTTTGTTGAACACTGATGATGTAAAGACGTACTGGTATCTTTAACAAACCCAATCTTTCTTATCAATAGGAGACTACTATATAACACTATCATAAAATAATCAGGAATTCATTAATTCGTGAATTGGTCAATGCATAAAGTCACTGGGAAGCCTGAAAGGAAATTAACTTTGACAGAAAGATATTGGATTTCATTCTTCTACCAATAATTCAATCGTTGGTTTCATCATTAAGCATTTTGTTGGAATTCGAAATGAGTATCAATACACTTAATAGTCATGGATAACATCTGTGGAATTATCTTTGGTGATGGTAAGCCAATAAAGAATCCAAATTCTAAAGCATACTCTAGACTTTGTTAAAGATCAATTCAAATTTCCAATTCTGGTTAAACATTTTAGAATTCTTTGAGTCAGTGTTAGTCATTTTTCAGTCTCTTGATTCGAGATATTTATTTTTCATTTCACTTGATCATCATGTGTAATACAGAAAAAGAGAGAAAGCATACTAATTTCGGCTTTATCATAATCTCTTCCATTGGGAAGTTTTTATTCCAGAAAAATCATTGATACTGCTCAATGAATAGCACTCATTTCAGATGGTTCAGAAGGAAAATCGATGGGAAAGTGAAAAGGCCAAACGTTAGAAGCCTAAACTATTAATACACCTATTGAAGACGAATTCTATAGCAGCACCAATTCTCAATCAATATCAATAATATTACATAAATTACTTGCCACACTTCTCTTTTCAAATTATATATAATTTAATAATACCCTTCTATTCATTATTACCAATTTCATTGTCCACAGAATGTTTGAGTCTATATATAGACTGAAATTGTTGCTACGGGCTAATGCAGTCTGTTTGTTTTTATCACACTGACATTTTACTTTTTCCAGTAAATGCTGCATATTGGTTATCTATGCCATCGGCTATTGTCAACATTTCCGTGCAGTTTTTAATTGGTATATGGCAGCTTTCGCGGTTAATGATGTGTTGAACGGTTAAATTGTTTAGAAGACGGTAAACAATTTAATTGTGGTAGGTTTTACAAACTATAAGCTGTGTGGCAGCATATTGGTAAATCTGAAATGTATGTATTACTATATATATGTCGAATGGATAATAGCACCCTGCACGCCAATTATCCTCTGTAGATAATACAATACAAAAGTCTTCAAGCATGTCGTAAATGACTAATTTGACGATTTTTTTCCATACCTTTGCCTTAATTGAAGATTCTAATCCTTTGATATAGATTTTGAATTAATAATTATAATTTATCTATATCCTTTTTATCAGTACTGTCAAAAACTGATGTTATCACTATTTTTTTATTACTGTGTGTTTTGTCGTTTCGGCTTTGAACTGAAGTATTTGAACTGAAACAAATGTAATTTCTAAAAAAAATCAAAGAAATAGTCTCAAGTAAAGGAACAACTGGATTATTTAACATACTATAAATATTTGAAAACAAGAAACAGCTAAATAGAAGTTCAAGAAACCTAGACAGAAAATGTTTCTTTAATGATTGCGTGCTCAAGATTATTAAAAACTCGGTGTACGACGGATAAAGTAACTTGATTGACTAAGGAGCAATGCTTCGTTTTCTTGTGTCAGTGGGCTAGTCAGACGAACAGTAAATTTAACAGAAAATCAATACGTTAACACCCAGAGATAATATGTCAATCAACTGTTTGTTGATCTGTCAAATCAACTTTATAAACATCTTGTAATCACATTTAATACCTGTTTCTAGATTCAACAAACTGTACTATCAATGTTATAGAATTCAGTACCATTGGTTTTAACACCTTCAAACCTAGTTGTAGCAAGTTGTAGCACTGTCAGTGATATTGGTTCACATTAACTTCGGTACGGAACCATATTACAATGTCAATGTTGGTGCTTTGAAGAGTATTCTACCCACTGCATTAATTCAAAAAGAACCGTTAACGACAGCACACTGCTGAATAGTGATAAAAATATTATTAATAAAACCAATAAGTTGTATGTATTATTTGGAATGGCGTGTGGGTAATTTCTTTACCCTGTACTCAGGGATGATCAAAGATGTTGAGATAGTTTTGTGATGTTGACTAATACTTCTGCTGCGTTTCCACAACGTTTTCTCTAATCATTTCCACTCTTGAAATCACTTCTCTGCCATATTCAGTATTTCAAGGAGCATTACTGCAAGCTCTTGAACAGATCTCGACCAATCAGTTCGATAATGCATTTTAATGATTTACTTTAGATTGCGTTGAATCATTGAAGCTGTCACGAGTCGTGTCATCATATCAAACTAGTATTAATTAAGTTACATGTCCTCAAGCCTGCCTACTTGACATGGTCAAAGAGCAATTGCGTCTTTCTGGTCAAATGTTGCATTTTTTTTTCATTTGCCATGTGTGACTTAAGGATGAATTTCTCTTAATTATCAGGCTGCTATCAAGGCTCAATTGACAGACTCAGTCTCTGTTAAGTATAACAAAGCTGACTGCGAATCAAACTGTATGCCTGTTTTGGATTTATGATCCATGACTTTAGTTATTGTATGATATTTCAATTTTAAAGTATGTTTGGGGTTAAATTTGAAGCCATCAATAACAAGACAATTGTAAACTTTCGTTAGTGTGCAAGAGATGCGCTCATTTGAGCTCCTGAACACACTCCAAACAATACACCAACTAATGTTCATGTTTTCTTTGTTTGCCCAAGACATTAACATATACAGGGTAAATTATGTTGTCATGACCTCTGAATAACTACATGATGAGACAAACAATACAGACTGTTCAAATAAAAGCATATTTGATACCAGATGTCCTAACCATCTACCACCAAAATCAATGGCATCGATATATATTGAATTATTTGAAAACGGCTGTTGCATATCGAAAGTACGAAGAAAACAAACAACCATCTTTCATTTCTAAGGTCAAATCTTGGCTATGTGGAAGATACGCAGATATAAATTGCGTTTTCAACGTTGCGATAGATTGTCCAAAGCACAGAATCTGATAAAGATAACAGCCGTGACTTCTTTGTTGTTGTTTACATTGAACAATGTTATATTTTGGACAAGAATCGGCAAAGACGCAAAATTGGGAAGGCCACAGTTACAAATTCGAGCACTTCTGGATTCTCTTCTGGAAACAAAACTACAGGCCGAGAAGCTGGCAGGCGGTTACGGTTTGCACTTAGCTACAACGTGGACGAAGACGTTCCAGAAAGATCCAGTTCATAAGGTAGTGATTGAGAACTGGGTCAATATATCAAAACAGGTGAAGCCAGTTCTTGTCTCTCAAGAAGGAAATATTAGAATGGAAGTGAACTCATCGGATTGGTCGATTATATCGGAAGTTGAGACAGAATGTGACAGAATTCCAACATTGAGAGGAGTCTTGAAGAAAATCATGTCCAAATTCACATCAAAGCTGTATGGGTTTTCTAACAGTGATTTGATCTTCGGGAAAGATTTCTGGACTTCCGTAAAAATGGTGTTGGGACATTCCTCATTGTTGAAAAAGCCTATATTAATCTTGGGTAAAAGGATCAATGTTAAATTCAACAGAAGTGAGACGTATCATATCCATGACATCCCAACGATAGCCCAACGGGGAAGTTATCCGGCGGAGGGATCTTCTGATATCTTCATTACTAATAAACTGTTTCCATGGTCGAATATTCCCAAGATAGTGGTAGGCAGAATGGGTTTGGGTATGTGGATAGTTGGATATGCAAGAGCACAGAATGTTACCCTGATTGACATTACAAATACATCCACAATACTCCACCTTACCACCAACATAGGCATTCAAGAATCTGGGTATGCCAGAAACCACAGTTTTAATATTGATTTATTACATAAACTAGGGTTTGGTGCTGCACATTTTCAACTCGGTTCCTTAGACTGTGTAGATAGATTTACGCAGTATGATACTGAAGGGAAGGTACAAATACAAAAAAGAAAAGTAGAACCTGTTTGTTACGGTGGGCACTTGAATGACTTTATTTCAAGTGACAAAGATTGATGTTTCTACGAAATTTGTGGGTACTCGTGTTCAATTTTTTTATACACATCATGCCAACTCGATAACAAATGTATGTAGATGCATAGATAGAGAGACACCCCACGAGTTTAATTTTCCAGGAAACATTCTATCTCATATCTTGTGTGACATGTGCAATAATAACTTTGGGTTCAATTACTGATTTTAAAGCTGTTTATTTACATTGCACATTGTGTCTTTTATTTTGTTACTATACTGGTATCTTGAACTATGCAATGACGCCTGTTGTGACACTACTAACTGATTACAGGGGTTAGTACCCGTTACGAGAATCGTGGTTGTTTCCCTTTATTAGTTTAATCCAGATTCGGCTATACAGAGATTCCATAGCTTAAGCTTGGTGTCCCCGAACCACAGAGTGTTATTGTCGGCATCAATTCTTTGATGTTTCGTTCGTTAGCCATCGCAAACCATAGGCATTGTAAAAAACAACATAAGAATTTCTGTATGAAACTTAGCTCCAGATCATTGCCAACTGCGTTATTATTATGACCAAATTAAACTCCAATGAGCTCGACGCGCGAAAAGATATTCATCTTTAGTCATTTTTCAATAGTCGTGGAGACAAAATTTTCGAGAATCGGCTACTTTCTGTATTTTATTGGGAGAATACCCATAAAATTCGAAACCTGTTACTTATTTTGGGTAATAATCAATGCGCACAAATTGTAAAATTTAGTGAGGTGTTGCTACCAACTGAATAAACCTATTACAATAAATCATTCAAGAGTAGTCTGGAGCCTAGTGTTTGAAGTTTAGACTAAAAAGTGTTGTCTCCCTTAAGGATGTTGAGCGAAGGTGAAATGTGGATGTAAAATGGAACCGGTTATTCTGAAAGAAAGAGTCAAATCAGTTGCAATGTTTTTATGAATTCTTCACATTTCTCAATACTTAATATGATTATAACTCAGTTACATATCCAATCTTTGTCAGTGGCAATGCCACAAAATAGCTTGTACGATTACATCATTTCGTGCTTTTAAAAGTCGATCAAATCTTTAAAAATGATGAGTTAATTGATAACAGAAACTTTGAAAACATGTACACAATATCCTCTTTAGTAACATAATAGATATGTTAGATGAGTTGTGCTTATTGGAAATGCTATGACACTAAACACGTAAACAGATTGTTTATAGTGGAGTCATTAAACGACCATTAGATTATAACTGTCATAAATATGGAATTAACCTTTCCGATAGAGTTTTTTAATTAAAGTATAATTGATAGAACTGTCCTTGACTTCTGTCCAACTGGGTACCATGAATAAATTATATCCTACATGAAGATTAGAGCTTAATATACCGTCAGTAATAGTAAATCTATATAATTAATTTAGATATAGATTCATTAACACGATAGATATTAATCCGAAACTTACTGCCACTAACCTGGCAATTTATCTAATATTATAAAGTATTACTAAAACTTTCACTGCACTCTTCCCAGACTTTTTTAATCAATCTATTTAAAATTAGGTTTTCAAGAAATTTTACCAGTTTGATCGTGTTATTGTAACCACCAAACAATGTCACGTCATGTCATAACCTTTTTACCACCAAATCCTACCACAAATATTATGGACTGAGTTGTTGAGTCACTCGCTCATATTCATGTTACTGGTGCACACTTAAGATAAAGAGTCCACATTGGGTCATTTCAGAGCCAAGTGTACACTTATAAAAGTTCTACTCTGGGTCATTTCATAGTGGAGATGAATGTAATGCATATCAATTTGAAACGAATTGCAGTGAATATCGACAGACTTACACTTTCGCCCACCCTTGTCAAAATTGATAAAAGAGTTACACACATCTGTTCATTTCACGGAATTTGATAGAACATTCTTTATCAAAAATTGATCCATTTATTGTATTGTTAACACATATTTCTATTTTATACATAATTTTAAGCATATTTGTATTTTAAACAAAAGTTTAAACCAAAATGAAGATATTAATGATTATGGTAGTATTGTTGGTGTGCCTGTATGGTGCATATTCCAGTAAGTTTATCTTATTCAATTTCTACAGACTTCGAAAGTTATCATCAGCTTGTACCTTTCTGTAAAGACTTTTGTTTAGAACTATGAATCAGTTTGTCCTTTTGCATAAGAAAGTACTAGTTTTTGTAAATAATACGTTATACTAAAACTCAGATCAGAATTGTTTTTTTTATTAAAAATGTATTTAAAATGAAATGAAAGTGATGATTTTTTATGCATTATATAGTGTTGGGTATATGCAATTAGTGCATGTTATGTCGTCGGTACGACATGTCATGATACGTGTACATGTACAGGTATACGCATTGACTTCATCAAAATGCGGAAGGAATCAAAGTTGAAGTTCCATTTGTGCACAGAAACCCGACGGCAGTTAGCTCTTAAAAGTTTATCGAAAATAATATACATACATGTAATATCGTCATAATAAATGTTTCAAATTTTAAACTAAAGAGTTACTCCTTTTCTTACATACTATATCTTGTCGTATTGTCTCTCTATTATCAAGCTGCGTATCGTATTGGTGTTATTGCGTGGTATCATTGCCAATATCCAACACTATTTATTTCATAGGCCAAAATGTTGCAGTGGCCTAAATGTTGTAGTGTCTATATAATGCGTACTTGGTGGCTTTGTTGAACTAGTCTGTGATATCAGCTTATCCTGGAAAAATGTTAACATGTCATCTACGAGCTTTGTTGAACCTGTCGTAACAAAAAGCTTCACTTCCCCATACTTTTATAAAAATTGGTATCTCATTAATTTTACATTATTTTATAATCTATAAGACAGTATTATTTTATTGTTGCGTATTTCAGTCCCAATACAAGGTGTGTGTAACTATAATGGTCAACAACACAAAGTAGGAGATACTTTCAAATCCTCAGATAACTGTAATACATGTGGATGTGGTGGAATGGGTATGATATTCTGTACACAGAGAGCCTGTATAAAAACATGTAGTTATAATGGTCAGTCGTATTTCCCTGGTCTAACTTTCAAATCTGCTGATGGTTGCAATGATTGTGATTGCCAAAACAATGGGGCAGTTGTTTGTACTGAACGAGCTTGTGCTACCTTAGTTTGAATACTTTATCTATAAGAGTACACAATAAAGTATCCTACATAACAGCCTTTTAATAAACACGTATCACTGCCCTATCTTTTTCTCCGCAGACTTTTGATCAAAGAACATTTTAAACGATGTTTAATTATTGAAGAATGGGGTAATGAAGAAAAGCTACTGCATTGAAACATCGTTTCATCATGAAATTTTAGCCCTCTACATAAAGATAAGATACCGTGACGTGGAGAGCAATGTGGAGATTTTTATTTATTCTTTTCTACCCTTTCTAAAGATATTTAACTTCGGTTTATTGTCCTTTCCGATCGATTAGTTTTTTTTGCCAGTTTCTTGCATCTCTGGCACGGGAAACAATTCCTTGTTCAGAAGTATAGTCTTCATGGGTCCTTGTTTAAGATATATGAAAAACCATTTTAACCACTGTATGATATTTATTTTGTTTGAGACTGTCTGACTGCTGTCAGTCAACTTGATTGAATATGATATACATAGGAAGATTACTGAATATTCAGTTCAATAGTTCAGTCATATTTATTTGATATTAGCCAAAATGGAAGTCTACATTGGTGTAAATATAATATTTCTTCAATACATCACATTGGGTCATTCTACTCTGATTCTAGATTTTATAATCAAATATAACACAGCTACACCAGTTCTATCGTTGTATTTGGTTTCCAAATAAAATTCGGCTTTACTTTCTCATTTTTCTGTTTCTGACTGAAGAAGAGTCTGAATACATAATACAATAAAATATATCAACCCCGGGCCCCTTAGAAATATTAACAATTACTGTAGATATTTTTAGTTCAAAATAGAGAAAAGTTTAATTTCTATTTCCCTTGATCAAAGAAAATCTGATAATGAATTATTACCAAATGTTTTTCAACACGAATAGTCTGGTTCAATTTCTTCAACCACCATCGAAGTTTTTAAATAATTTTAAAATCGTTTAAATTTGTCTGTTATAACCCCAACATCATATTGGGATGTCGACAGTAGGATGACACATTACTCGACTTAAGTTTGTAAGGTTCGATTAGTACATTGCCTGTTTATGTTAGTGATGGACTTCTTTTGTTGGAAAATATAAATATCTCGACCAAGGTCCTGGTAGTATTCTACAAATTATCGTATATGTAGGGAAAAGATTCGTACACAAAGGGTTTTTCATTTATGTATCTGAAAGTACTTTGGGTGCTTCCACCAACAATGACACCAGAAACCGTAGAGCCTTTACATTACGTGATTCTATGTCTACCGAGACTTAAATCTTTATATAAATATCGCCTGCTTAAATCTTTTTAAAGCTTAAGATTACTTTTTGTTGTGACAAACGACTACAATCCATCAAACACACGTTTAATAACTTCTGTAATTTAACAGATAACTATATCATTTGTGATGCATTCAGTTTTAACCGAGTGTATTTATTGAGATCAGAGTCCATATCACGCGAACATCATTTATAAAAAATACATGTTATCATTCACATATTGTGTGAAGACATGCAATCTCCAATATGATGCCAAACTATGGGAGAATCAAGCCCATGTATGAATAATTACTATTCTCTAGACCTCCTACCGCCGCCATTCAGGGATTTACGTCTTTGTGGTTCTAATTAAGTAATTCTTTGACCATACAATAATATCAACATAGTTTCAGAATAAACAATCGTGTTAAGCCTTAATTAAAATCTTTCAGCACTCATCTCAATTAGTTGTAGTCCGAGTTAACTAACAATCACTGGTAGTCAGATACTTCAGCCTTCTCTACATTGAGTGATGAAATTCGCAACTAAACTTTTAAGTTTAAAATATCTTAGAATCTGGGATTTAAGTCTAACTTCATTCTTGGATAAAAAGTATTTGTCTATCAGTCGAATGGGTGCATGTTATACGGAGGCCTCACTGTTTCAGCCGCAGTCAATCTGATTTCGACGACGCAGACAATGATAAGATTGGAATTTGCAGGACAGTGTCAGGTTTTGGACAGACAATAGCTTGCATCACTCAGATTATTCGTTTACTGTCAATACAAATACCAACTACTTCTACTAGACGGAATTTCGATCAACCTTCGGAAAAGATTTTAAAAAGATTAAACATTATTTCTACCATTAGCAATTCTCTCTTTTACTATATTGGTAGTTATTAGCGACTTCGATAGCAAATAAAGTATTAGGCCTAGTTTTTTTATATCTAAACATCAGTGGCATTAATACTCGGACTATGTACAGGAATCATTGTTTAATCCCTATATTGGACAATCGATTGTTTGTTGCGTGTTTTACTATTCTTTTCAATCCGTCACTTCATTTCTCATTTGGATTTAATAAACAAGAAATGGAGGTCAGAAAGTCTAGTTATTATTGGTAATTGATATCTCAAGATTCACCTATAGTGGTCAGTGGTACGTCGAATCGATTTACCAGGATATCTTCATACACACCTTTAATTTATAGTACAAACCACGTGTAAATCTCATTCAGAAAGATCTGTGGAATGAACTTGTTTTACTTAATCAATTTAAGTCATTGAGGACTAATTTTAACCGAGGTTGTAACTTAAGTTGAGAAGATCCTTATTGGGTTAATAAGAATGAAACATTGTTGCACAGACCCTTATTGGGTTTTTCACATGGAAAAATTTACATTCATTTGTCAAGCTACATGTTACTGGGTGATGAAACAGAATGGACTTGTACCTCCTTCCTCAAGTTGATCTGAGTTATGCCATTCTCCTTATTCAAACTCTTGTTGAATATTATGTAAGTAATTTTGGTTCAGTTTTCGTTCAGAAAGAAAAGGTCACTAACAATGGATTAAACAAATGGTATTTTCCAGCTATGTGGGTTGAAAGATAAGAATTTAAATAGTTTCCCTCTCTAATTGACAGAACCGTTTAAACAAAATTGTCCATCACTTTGTATTATAGAAAGATTTTGCATAAGAAAAAAGATGAATAAAGTGTAATTTGAACAACATACTTGCCGTCCAGAACTAGTTAAACACTAATAATCATACGATTTGATTGTTAAATTAGGAAAATAAAAGAAGACTTGAGTACGTTTTGATCGATTAAATAGATTTTTGATTTATAACATTGTCTTGTTTCCTATTCTTCTTGATATTCTAACTAATCTTGAAATAGCTAAGAGGCGTTAATTATTATGAAGAGTATCTATTTAAATTCTTATTACATACTCAATTTGTACCTGTTGACTTGAAAGGGTTGTTCTTGACATAGGTAATTTCACTTACGTAAAGACAGAAGTTGTAGGATATATTCACCGTCTAAAGACTGGTACAAACCAGTAATTTTTGAAAAATTTGAAGAAAATCAAGGATTGAATGGATGAGGAGCAATATTAAATGACCATCCATACAGTGTGCTTTCGTTTTCAGCGACATATAGCATATTGACTCCTATGATGTTTAGTACAGGAAGTTCATTTACGACTTGATCAACTACCTTCCTCAAAGAGGAAATAACACGATTTAACCTCGTAAGTCACTGGTTTTGAACTTATGGTTATTAACCCCGAAGAGGCAATTTTGAAAATTTTAGGGGATGAGGCACTTTGTAGTCTAGTATGAAATATTTGCATAATTGTAATTTATGTTGTTCTATTAAGTCAGACTACATGTATGTTCCCCGATATGAAAAAGATTGCAAAGAAAACCTTAAGAGAAAATCACGAAATTGTAAGGAATTATTGGATAAGGAGAATAAAGCTAATCCTGAATGAGGTAATGCAAAGAAAAAGGTTTAAAGTCCCTGTCCTAACCATTACAGTGCCCCGAATAACTCGAACGTCATTTTATTGATTACGTCTCTATCACAATATATAAACCATGTGAAAATAATAACTTATTTATTTTTCTTTATGATAGATAAGTAAACAACGTTTATAACGTACATTTGATGTTTACCTTATCTTCGATTATTAAAAACAAATCAGGGAAGGGCATAGCATATTAATAATTTATAGTAATTTAACCTCAATTCTGTCCGGTTAAATGAAAGGTAAAGGAATTACTAAGCCATCCCGAATGCCTAGAGCCGTCATAGATATAATAAGTGTTTTCAATCTTTAATGAATATAACAGAATTTCTTAATAGATATTTACCAAGCTATTTTGTTCGTGCATTTTTCACGGTGGTTCGACCGTGTGATATTAGTTTTCCCTCTGGAATTCTCCTCGAACATCAAGCACTCAGTACAATGAGTGAATTTTCAATGTGTAAGCCAGCGCAATTGATCTTGTCTTTCCGTAAATTCTATAATGCACCAGACTCTGTACTTCTGGTTGTCGAGTTGATATGGTAGACCCTTAGTTCTTCACAAGCATCAAGTCCGTTTGCTTACTTGCATGTTTGATTTAATATATAAGCTTGTAGTATGGCAAAGGAAAGATTCGTCTGATATTGGTCACGACTTTAATACAGTAAAACTCTCAAGCTTTGAGGTAACCTTTGACACTAAGCATCACTCCTAGTTTAACAAACAATTGTAATTTAATAATTCAAGTAAAAGAGCAACCTAACTTAAAACCCAGAATTTTTATTCGTTCATTTTTGTTATTTAAATAACAATGTTACGCTCAATGCAATGATGAGTATCAATTGTTGAAAGTCTCATTGTCTAGCAACTTGTCTATATTGCAGTGTTCAGTGTTCTGGAGCAAGCGATACTCTCAGGATGAAACTAACTATGTTTACAGAGACAGATGAAATTAATCATTCATATCGTAATACTAGAGTAGACACTCTTAAATAAACAGTTTTTGACGAGAGAACGAAAATTAAATGACATAATAATACATATTTTTACATAAAAAGTAAACGTTTGTTGACTTTAAACATAGAAATTGGTTTTCTCATCAAGTGAACTGAACTCCCGCGCTTAGTTCTGACTTTCATTCATAGAAAAAAGAACGAAGCACTGTACGTACTGTGTACTGTAGTTATATTGATTACCAGTGGAGCTTTGGTTTC